CATCGACCATTTCTGGACCATGACAGGAGGCCAAGAATAAATAAATGGCAGTCCCACTCAGTCCTGTCATGCGATATCTTATTTTGGACGTTATGAGCACTGCACGATATGAATGCTCAGTCTAGATTTAGAAATTTCTAGAGGCGAATCTTAATCAGAGGTGACTGTTTAAACATAAATGATAACAGAGTTTGCAGGGTTACCTTATTCTGATCGTCGCATTAGATAGTCAGCTGTCACGTGGGTCAAGTTGAACTGCAACCCTAAAAGGCACTCGCATGAAAGAGAATGGCCACAACTTTCGCTCGTTCTAATATACTTATGCCAGGACGTAACGGTGTCCTGCTGTTAGCTGATCGATGACTTGCCATCTGTTTTTCTGCTGATTGCACCGAACTGACGCGAGGTGAAGTTCTAGCCTGAGGGAATTGATAGTTAAGAGAATTATTTGCCTTTTCAGATTATTACTTCCAAAGTTCGAAACCCATTCTTAGCACTGTGTCACCCCATCCCCGCCCCACCCCGCCTCCCCAGCCGAAACTCATTGTTTAATGCTGACAATTGAGACGGAATGCTTTGAAATTCGAGAAATGAAGAAACTGGATGCTTTGTCGTTCATTAGGCTATCTCTGCTCATATGTAAGGAAGCTTTGTACTTCTTACTACGCTTGTAACAACTCTGAGAAACATATTGCTGGTGCGCATCAAACTTACACGTTTACAGTTTAGTTGTTCTCCTCATGTCCGACTGTTTACAATGACGAATCACTCGTGTACAATAAGTTCGAGTTGGCGAAAAAACGAAGCAGATGATTGATTGTTTCTGGACGAATACCAACGAGTTTCAGTAAATTGTTTTTCAGGACTCACACCGGATGCTTCGTCCGACTCTAAAGCATTGGAAAAACTTTTTGCTAATGGTACAGTCTGTCTTCACCCGGCACACTTCGCGTCTCTACTGAGCAGTCTCGTCGCGTGCATCGTTGTGTTGCTGATCATCGTGTCCTGCATGGCCGGCAAACTGGCCAGAAAGCACAAGTTCTGGTGCCGCTATGAAGATTCGCTTCATTACGCAATGCTCAACACTTGCTGCCCAACTCCCGCTTACCAGGCGTCACCAGCAGCAGTCACGACAAAGTTTTAAAACAACTGCTCCCACAAATGGCTTAAAATGAAAAGAACGCGTTTTAATGCTGAATTGTACCAATGTTATAGCTTAAGTGTACTAAATTCTGTATCTGTGCCCGCGTTAAATAAAACGCTGAATTTTTGATCAGCAATCCTTTGACGCAAAGCGGTGGCAAAATTTGACATGTTCATATCTATAAGTGCTTATGATACTTTTCATGAAAAATAGGTCCTTCATTCAAGCTCATACTGTAATATTCTATTAATTAATTTTTTCATGTTTGAAACATTACAGACACGTGAACGCCATTGGACCCGCTTCCTGTATGAGTAACGATTCTGATATCAGCTAAATTTCATAATCTAAATGGACGGCGACTACGCAATTATTAAATTATTCCATAGGTGGTTCGTCACCTTGAAATATAGGATCACAATGGAATGCGGGATCGCACTACTCAATGATTCCAAAACAACTGCTCTAGAACAAAATAAAAATGCATAAATATGGCCATTATTAAAACTTTAATTAAAAATCAGTGTCTAGATCCTCTTAAAAACTCTAATTGAGTAAACTACTGTCACTGTTACCAATTATTCAACGGCAAAATCTGCCTGCGAACCTTATTCGTGGTAGAAACGGAATAGTATTTCGTCATGAAGCAATTTTAAAGTTACCGTCACTCATTTTAAAGGAGAAGCTGTTCTTCATATACGTTTCAATGGAGTCTAATTCTTATTCACCGATTAAAGTTGACAAGTATCAGGGCACTGAGTTGATTTTTTTTTCATTTAATCATTAAATATCTTATTCTGGATTCAGGGAGGATGCATCATTGTTCAGTCCGGATCAAGATCCGCAGAGGTCCTGCATCTCACAACTGTCAGCCACTGTGGGAGGGTCAAGCCAAGCAAAGTTGCCCTCCTGCTTTTGAATGACCGGCTTGTTTTGGCTCCAAGATCGTGCGTTGCAAAAGTTGTTGACATGTTTTCGTTGCCACCATATCATCGATATAGACGCCTGTCTGATAGATTCCGTTCAATAGACCACCCGCGCATCGTTGGAAAATTAATAGCGCCGATGCGATCCTGATTTCGTAATGGCAGTTACGAAGGTAGCCACAATTACCAGATATTTCGAACATTAACCGTGTGTGTTCGATGTGTGCCTTAAATCAGGTGAGGATGAGGTGTCATGGAAAATCACCACAGACTCGAACTCTTCCATTTTCTTTCTCACCATTAACGGTTATTGTTGACCATTCAATCGCCACTGTGGCAGGGCTCACTGGCTCTGTTATTCCTTCAATAACCAGGCGTCGAATTTCGTTCTCTATTGGTCTCAAGCGGCTGGAACCCTACCGGCACTGAATGCAACCGGCTGAACGTCAGATTGCAGAAAAAGTATGGCCTGTGCTCCACGAAATCGATCTGGTATTTTACTAAATAACTCGACATATTTGTCCAAAAGCTTCTTCGTTTCCTGTCAGTTTCGGTTATTAGTACAATTTCTGAAGTCAATTTCGTTGTTCAGGCAGGTGCCCTGACTGTTCGTACAGAAACAGCATCATGTAGCGATATTTTGAACTCATATGCCAATGCGAATCCCATGGCTCTCTACTCTCCCGTTCCAACACTACGTTTTATACCTCGCTAATAAATATCTATAGAAAGGCATATTTCTTTTCAGCGTTACCGAAACGGTCACGTCGCCCAGTGTTTCTAATAGAAAATGATGAGTGCCATTAAGCCGTTCCGCATCAGTCAGTTTCGGCTTCGGACGGCTCAGCTCTTCCCATTGCTGTTCATTAATCACTAATATACTGAGTCTCGTATCATAGTTCATTCGAGATTTTTTCATTGAACATTAAGTCGATCATGGCCCGCGTGACCACCCTTCTAATTTATTTTACCCGATTCAAT